CCTTGAGGCCTTGTTCGGTTAAACCTCTCCTGGAGGGGATTAAAGAGGTTTGGAGGGGATTGGATAAGATTTTGATTTGTCTGGGATTTAATCCACCTCAATCCACTTCATTCCCCTTCAATTTTATTGCAACCGAACAAGTCCTGAGGAGAGTACACGGTGCTCTTACGTAGAAGTACTACTTAAGTACATGTAGCTAGGTCAACATGCATGGTGGTCGACCATTGGAATCTAGCATTTCACTTATGTTGTCATGCTTAATACTTTTGTGGTTATGCTTCATACTTTGGTTGTTGGTGCTTACCAGGCGGATTATTCGCCCTTTGTTCTTCATAGTATTGTCAACTCAATCATGTCCTTGAGTATATGTAGGCAAACGTCTGTCGACCACCCCCTGCCAAAAGGAAAACATCGGCCGACCATTGGAATCTAGCATTCCACTGTTGTTCGAGTGATTAATACTTAATTTCGCCGCTATGCTTACAGTGTTGATTATTCGCCGTTCATTGCTTTTTCATGGTATTGTCAAATAGGCTTTGTCCTTCATACAAAAGACTATTGACAAGTTTAGAGTAAATTCCCCTTTTTAGCGTGGATATTGGCCAAGTTATAAATTGTACCATGTAGAGCTAGTACGCGAGATGCCAAAGTTGGTGCCATGTCATATTAGGGCTCAGTGTGGGAGCGTGTAAGAGCAACTCCAATGGGTGATCCATTTTGTCGGTTTGGATGATTCGACAGAAAACGTAGCCCAACAGGGCGACCCAAACGGACGCGCATGTCCGCGTGTTGTCCGTTTGTCATCCACCCCGACCCAAACTGAGCTCAAATTTGTGCCACAAATGGGTCCATGATGGACAAAAGCGGGCGCTCCTCTCGTCCGCTGCTACCCTCCCGTGTCTGCCATGGTCCTACTAGTCAGCGACACAACACGAGCCATTGCAGCGAGATCCCAACCCAGCCGAGCGCCGCCACGAGCTGCCGTCCTCAACGGCGAGGCCTCCGCCTTCTCCATCGTCCTCGCCGGGAGGCCTCGGGTCACCCGTGCGGCCGCTCGCCCCGCCCGCCGCGCGCCCCGCGCCCCTCAGCTCCCCGCGCGCGTCGCCGCTCGCCGCGCCACCTCGTCCGCGCCCGCCGCGTGCCTGCTCGCCCAGCTTGCCGTTGAGGCCACCGGCGCAGGCCGCCGTGGTGCTCGCCGTCGCGCTTGAAGGCCGGGCGCCAGATGTGGCGCGCAGCGTCGTAGATGGCGCCTGCCCGCTCTTGAAGACGAAGGAACCCGCGCAGGATGCAACTCCTCCTCATCCGTCCACGCCTCTAGAACAGCCGCCTCGAGTCCTCCGCCATGCGTGTCCGTTTTTGCATCTTGTGTGTTGGGTTCATCCACCGGCCACGCGTATCCGTCTCATATCCGCTAGGCGGACGAACGACCAAAACGGACAAAATCCATGTCTGTTTGGGTCTCCCCGTTGGAGTTGCTCTAATGGAGTTGGAGAAGATTGAGTGTCCTCCAAGTCTAGAGAGAAGACTGAAGCAGCGGGTGACCGGCAGTTGCGGTAGAGCAAGGTGGAAGAACAACACCTCTTATCGTGGGGTCATAATGATCAATGATGATGATAGCGACGAGGAAATCATACGATAGGGTTGTCGGCTTGCACTAGGTGGGGATATCTAAATCACCATAGGGACTCCTGCCATCTTACTTTCTTTTGACTTGGATTTCGTTAGCAAGGAACGAGGTTACTCGCGTAGTCCTCAAGAGGGCAACACGGGTAAAACCCAAAACCCTAGTCGTTGTATTAAAAAAAAAACTAGTCATGTCGCTGTCCTCTCTCATTGCCCTCGCTACCGCTAGAGGACGCTAGCTAGCAATGCACGCTCGATCGGCGGTGGCAATGGGAGTTGGTTCTATCCCGCAGCATAGTGACAACCCTGACCGACATGGCTCCACATTTGTTGGAGAGGTGGCCCCAGCACGGATCGACTAATGGCCGTGCTCCTCACCAACATGGTGGGGAAGCCTTGTGGTGTAGCGGATCATTTTTAGGGCCATCTGTAGTCACACCCTTAGCTTGGCCGTTGACATGCGCATCTAAGCATGTACGAGAGGTGGTTGCCTGGACGAATGCTTTATTTAACGTCTTCCCTCTCTCAACGATAGGGATCTAAAGTGGTGTGGTAGCAACTGGAGGCGGGACGAGCAGGCCTCAATCCTCCTCTAGCGTATCCTTGGGATTTCTCAGCGCTGTGATCTGGCTAGTGAGAGAACATCAAACGATAAAGAGGATGATGTGGGTGATAGTTTCAACAACAAGCATGTAGATTCTCTGGGCGAAAAGACATGATCTCGCCTCAAGCTATATCATGCATTATTGATGACTTTCCATCGTGTCCTTTGTTGAAGGTGTTGGCTTGAAGTTTTGCTTCGATGATGATGATCCGAAGTTTGAACTTTTGGTTGGATCCATCAGTACCAGCGCACGTGCAACCATCCCTTCCAGATATGGTTTAGGACCAACTTTTTGGATCTCTACCGGGTTTTGTTTAGTTGCAACAAAATATGCTAGTATTTTCCTCTATGCATCTACATAAAGAAAGAACCATATGTGTTAAAGAGCTAGTACCTTCTTTGGTAGATCATACAAAAAACATGCTCCAAAATGTACCACAACAACAAATCTACTGCCCACAACAGAATAACTAAATTATACCCTGGTTTTATAGTTCGCCTTTTGTGCTTTTTCCTTGATGCTAGCCAACTTAAATATTTTTACATGAATCAGTGTTATTTTCTTCTTATGAAACTTATCATGAATGCCCCTTTTCCCTTTATTTTCCGGCGACTGTGGATACACATGATCATTGGAATTTATTAAGATATACAAAGTAAGAACGAGAATATTAGTATTAAACTGTTGCCATTATTTTTTACTACTCTCATAAACATATGAAGCGAACTTGTAGTTAATTATCGAACAACTAAGTAGTTGTAGGTACTGGATGTTCTGAACCCTCCAGTATATGCCAAATCTCTCACAATGTAGGGACTAGAAATAATATTAGAATGAGAAAACTATGTCTTCCATTGTAGTTCATCATGAGAATGAGGATTCATAACATGACATTTCATTGATATACAATTAGCATTGGATGCGACATATCTCTCTTAGTGCCTCAAGTCACTAAGATAGGATTGTGTTATTCATAAATTTTAATAATTGATACTTCATCAATCGAAGAACATGTAGCTAACAAGTAAAAAAACATAGGAAAAAACATCAAAATTATAACAATATTGTAATTATTATAAAATAATAATCACATAAACCTTCTTTCAAATATTGCAATAATTTTTTATTTTATTTGATATATGAATTCCCAATTCACATAATTAAAATTACACTTGAGACATACATAGAGACCAGATAGTTTTAATGGTAATTGTTAACACATTATACAGTAAAGCACTTCTATGAACCAAATAGGAAAATAGCTTCTGAAGTTAAGAAAAAAAGAACAAAATCATAATACTGCATGGTTTTTCCGGTGCCCTCGGATCTATTTGTAGAATGTTTTTTCTATTATATGTGGTCATCTTAGTGTTTTTAAAATATCTTTGCTTAGGGTTCTAGAGTTTACAGGTGTCCGAAATATTTTGATAGATGTTTGGCACACCTGACCTAAGAGAGTCCTCACTAACTTGTTTATCTCAACATGCAAGCATGTCACATCATCATACAACTATGGATAGGATAAGGCCTATCTCAACATGCACGATGCGTGGAAAAAGAACCACCACCACATGCAACCATGTATGTGAAAAATATTTTTCATTCTATTATTCTACTTATATTCAATTAATATTTACAACTACACAAAATTAAAATATAATAAATCATATGTATTTTTAATTTGGTCCATATTTTATTAATCCAAATATTTATATTCCATACAATCAAATTTAATTGAAATATATTGCAATCGATTCCCACAGCAACGCGCTAAGTATCATCTAGTTACTACTAAACAAGTTATCACTTCAAAATGTCAAAAAGTTCCATCACGTATATTTTGGGTATCCATTTGAAGCAATGTAGCATTAATGAAATGGTCCAGATGATATAAATTTCTTCAAATGTTATATTCAGTAACTACCCATGGTGAACCATTCACACATATGGCTCACATAAAGAACCATATGTCAATTAGTCCATGATAGATGTGATTAACGATCAAAGAGTTACTTATATGGATCCGTTCAATTGACCTTTTTTTTAAATGTTGATATGTAAAACTTCTCGTTATTCAATCTATTGGGTTAATCAATACTCTATGCCATGCCTATTTAACTTGAGATTTTGATGATCTAAGGTAACCAAGGTAAATACAGTAGTAAAAGCTTTAAATATTTGACAATTAGACAATGAGGGTGCAACAATTGATGAAAGTGAAAAGATATGGATTATCTCATTCTTTAACAATGAAAGTATAATAAGTATGGTTTATACCATACGAGGCAGCAGTGGACTCAAATCCAAGCTTTTGATGTCCAGACAAAGGTTAATTATGAATTGTATATGTTGAGTGAGCAGAAAAATTTCCATCTATAATATTATCAAATGCAGAAACCTTGTGCTAGCACACAGAATTAGGTCGAGCTAGCATGGTACTCCATAAGAAACGAATCATCTCCATCTATAATATGACAATACAGGGATTCTTGGCAAGACAGAGCCAGCTGCTGTGAATCATGCTAGTACGCAGTGCAGTCTAGCTGTCTTGGTACCAACCGGAGTGGAGCTCAAGCATGGATCGATCGGAGCCAATAGACAGATTGATACCCAATTTGGTTGGACAAGAACAAGGTACATTACAAACTGATCAATCGATCTTTGGATGATCTTAGCAACAACTAGGCACGATGACTGAAAATCTTAGTTGTTGATCAGTTGATTAATTACTAGCAATGGTACGTATGATAATCCTCTTATTTGGATCAATGATCAGGTGGCGATGATGGAGTATGGCTCCACGATGAAGAGCGGCCTCTGGCGGAGCTGCCGGCACCGCCGCACGCTCTGCACCAGCTCCTCCCTGTCCCCCACCCGCGACGTGAACAGCAGCGCCGCGCTCTCCTTCTCCTCCTCGTCGACCTCGTCCTCGTCCTCCTCGTCGGACTGCATGCCCGTGGACGCCGCGGCCACCGCGGCCGCCAGCGCCGTCGTGGACGACGGCACCCGGCGCATCCCCGGCGTCACTGGCGGAGCGGCCTCGTCCTCGGTACCACCTCCAAAGCAGCGCGACGGGGACGTGTCGTCGCTGCTAGCGGCTGGCGCACCGCCCACGAACTTGTTGATGACGATCCTGGAGCACCGCTGCGCCTTGCCGGACGCCGCCACCACCTCCACCACCGTGCCCCTGTCCACCACCTCCACCTCGTCCTCCTCCTCCTCTTCCTCTTCGTCCTCCTCGTCATGACGTGGCTCTTGCACCATGCTCTGCTCCTGGTGTTCATGCTGTGGTTGCACCATGCTCTGCTTCTCATGTTCGCCAACAGAGTCCGAGGCAGAGGAGCAGTCCACGAAGCAGAGCTTGAGGCGGCCGTCCTGGCGCTGGGCGTGGATGTACACCTGGGGCTTCACGGCCACGGCCTCCAGCACGAGGCGCCCGTCGCGGCGGTGCGGGCGCACCCGCAGGCACGGCCCGGCATCGTCGCCGCGCCGACGCGACATGGACGGCAGCGGCGGCGGGAACGCGCGCTGAGGCCGCGCGCGGTGGTACTGCACCGCCTTCAGCGTCAGCTCCTCCTCCTCCTCTTCGCCTTCTTGCAATGCCGGCGGCGAGACGAAGTCGGCGGCGACGGTATCGTCGGTATGGTGGGAAGTCGGCGGCGCGTAGAGGAGGGATGCCAGGTCGAGAAAGTCGCCGCGGGTGCCGGTCTCGCAGCCGAGGCTCTCGGTGCAGAGGCCGAGGCTCTCGTGGCTCATGGACCGCCGCACCGTCGCCATCGGGTAGGTCGTCTTGGCCTTGGCCGGCGTGGGCGGGGCCTTGGTGGCGCAGTCGTCGTCGGCCGGGGCCTGGATGGCGCTCCACATGTCCAGCTGCTGCGACGGTGGCATCGGCGCCGGCATGCGAGTGCGAGTGTGAGGAGGAGGGACGTCCAGCGCCGGCATGACATGGCACACCGCCACCGTCATCTCGAACGATCTACAAAAAGATCGCAGCCGAAGGTGGAGATGAAGCTTGCTGGAGGAATGAGTGAGTGAGATGAGTGAGGTGGTGAGGGGGGTTGGGAGGGTATTTATAGGCGGGAAGGGGAGCCTTTTCAGCCGTCCAAACACAACAGAGGAGGAATCCACCTATCCATCCTCTAACAAACTGCACTATGAAGAACATAATTTTAAAGATTAGCAAGGACCCTACAGAGTCTTCCGGCTGGCTTGCCCATTGCTCCTTAATACTTAAAACTATTGTCACACACAACAAATGCCCATTTCCAAAATTGTACTACTAGCAAGTAATTAATATTCTTCTCATCCGATAATATCTACTCCCTCCTTTTCGGTTTATAAGACTTATCTCAACTTTTTTGTTTTTTCAATTTAGAGGGCTCATCTTCATTTCATTTTTAGTTTTCAATGCGCATTAGATCTTTGCATGCAAGAATTAAAAAGGAACACACCGATGCATGTAATGTTCCTACTCATCTAGTCTAAGCATGCATGCACTATAATTAATTCAAATTAATGCATGCGTTTATTTGGGGTAGTTTTGTAAAATACGAAATACATTCCTCCACTCAGAAATGCTTTGGTTGATGAGATTTGAGATTTGAGCCATATAAACCAGAAGGTAGGGAGCAGCTATCAAAGCTTTACAAGCAAATATGTAAGGGCATCTCCAATGGTGACCTGCAAATTCTCTCCGGGTTCCGTTCGCGAACAGGCGGAACTGTCTGTGGACACGGATGCGGGCACCGACCATTTAATGCTAAGAGCATCTCCAGCCGCGTCCCCAACAGGCCCGTAGGCCACTTTTTCGGCGCCGGCGCCAAAAAAACGCCCCAGTCGCGCCTCCAGGACATCGAAAAATGCTGGTTCGGCCCTTTTTTCCGCTCGGCGGTCATAGGCCGAACCCGGCGCACTGGAGGGCAGTTGGGGGCTCCGGCGCAAGGGAAAAGCGCGGCTAGCCCACGTCGTCAGGGGAAAAGTCAAGGTTTTCTTCCCCGACTCGCCTCCCACCGCCCGCGCCCTCGGCCGCCAGTAGCTATATCCCGGCGCCGACCGCCGCCTTTCACCACTAGATAGCCATTCCACGCCGGAAAAATAGCAGAGCTTCGCCGCGGCAGCCCCTCCAACAGCAGCTGGGCGTTTCCGGCCGCGGAGGGGCAGTTTAGCGGCGGGGACACGCCCACTGGGCGCAAAGTGTTTGGCGATTTGCCTGCCTCGGTGATGGACTCGGATGACGAGGAAGCGCTCGCCGCGCTGCTGGAGGAGGAAGCCGAGGCCGACGTCCAAGAAGAAGAGCATCTCATGGTGCTCGCCGCCCTCGCCCAGCTGCCGGCGAGCAATGAAAAGCCGCGCCGAGGTGGCTCGGCGCCGGGGCGGGTGAAAGCAAAGAACCAGCATCGTCTCGAAGGCTACTGCATGCTCTACTCCGACTACTTCGCCGATGCTCCACTTCATGGTGAGAAAACATTTCGGCGCCGTTATCGAATGAGCCGAAAGCTCTTCCTCAGGATTATTAATTCCATCCGGGAGTTCGACAACTACTTCAAGTGCAAGATGGATTGCACCGGCGCCCTTGGATTCACCTCCATCCAGAAGTGCACGACAACGATGAGGATGCTTGCATACGGAGCTCCCGATGATTCACTCGACGACTATGGGCGCATGGTCGAGTCCACCAGCATAGAGTGTTTCTACAAGTTCGGTCGGGCAGTGGTGGCAGTGTTTGGACCGCAATACTTGAGAACACCCAATGCGGAAGACATTGCTCGGATCCTAGCACAGAATGCAGCAAGAGGATTTCCTGGGTTGCTTGGAAGCATCGACTGCATCCATTGGAAATGGAAGAATTGCCCATTTTCTTGGCAGGGGATGTACAAAGGCGCCAAAGGCGGTTGCAGTGTGGTACTTGAGGCGGTGGCCACACAGGACCTCTGGATTTAGCACTCCTTCTTTGGTATGCCAGGAACTCACAATAACATCAACGTGCTGCAGTGCTCTCCTGTCTTTGCCAAGTTTGTTGAAGGTCATTCTCCTCCGGTGAACTTCGAGATCAATGGGCGGCACTACAACAATGGGTACTATCTAGCTGATGGCGTCTATCCGAGATGGTCGATATTTGTGAAGACGATGTCAAACCCTGTGCCAGGAGGCAAGAACGCCTGGTTTGGGAAGGTTCAGAAGGCTTGCAGGAAGGATGTCGAGCGGGCATTTGGTGTGCTCCAATCTCGATTAGCTGTTGTCCGGTACCCCGCTCAGACCTGGTCGAAAGATCAAATGTGGGAGATTATGACTTGCTGTGTCATCTTGCACAACATGATCATCGAGAGCGAGCAAGGAGACCCAGTGTTTGACACTGAACCATACTACAGACAGGGTCCTCTAGCCGAAGTTGATCACCAGCTACCGGCAATCTGGACTGCATATCTCAGTATGCGTCAGGAGATCCGAGACCCACAGGTGCAGCATCAACTGCAGCAAGATCTGATAGAGCATCTATGGAGGCTCAAGGGCGACGCCGGGCGCGACGTGTGATGAAATATGAGTTTTTATTTGTTGAACTATATAATTTGTATTGAACTATTTGTTGTTGTATTATTTTGTTGAATTATTTGATATTTCTGTGATGAAATATGTGGTAAAAAAATTATGTGCATAATTGAACGCCGAACAACGGCGAACCACGCCGAATATGGGCCTATTATCGCCCATATGGACCCTTTATTCGCCGAAATGGGGCTGAAAAGTGGGCCAATATCGGCGTCTGGGGGCGACGACTGAGCGCGAAACCGCCCCCAGTGCCGATTGTATCGCCGGCTCGCCCCCAGGCGGCGATTTTTATGTGTCCTGGGGGGCGAACGGCTGGAGATGCTGTAACATATATATGTGCGACAGTAAAGGGCAATTTGAAATTCAAATGTACTCTGATCCACGCAACGCATCGGATAACACCAACGCTAAATTGCATGCCCGGTCACAACCAAAAAGAGACAAATATGCTTAGTTTTTACATGCCAGATTCCAAGATAACATCAGTCAGGCGGTCCATGCAAATTTCTGTCTTTGCCAGACCGGCAATCCCAGCCATCTGCTCACTGATCAAGGTGTTGCTGCCGCCGCGAAGGCAGCCTCCGCGTCCGCCACCGCCTCATTCTCCGCCGCTATCAACTCATGTTTCACCCGCTGCAACATCTGGTAGCGGACGGATTGCACGACCATTCTTGCATCGAGATCCAAAGCATCCAAATTCAAGGTCAACATATTACGCCCCCATTGGCGGTAGTCTTCAACTTCTTTTTCTCGAGTGTGGCCTTCCTCTCTTTGATCACGGTCCTCATTTTTTCGAGCTTCAGCTTCCTGTTCGTCGCCTCCATCAATAATTTGAACCCGTCCGCCTTTTTTCCTCCTTGAGGTCCAAGCGCCTCACGCATGCCTCCTGCTTCTTCGACAAGATGTCCTCAAACCTGTTCGTCATCGTGGCCGTCGCACCTTCTTGCTTCGCCCTCTCCTCCTCCCACTTTTCCCCCATAAAAATCTTCTAACTTTCTTTGATAGTTCTTGGGTTGGGTTTGTAGGGTCACCAGTTTCTTCCTTAGTGGCTTGGGCGGCGGTCTTGGCTATGAAAATGTTCCACTTCGATTACCCATTGAACTTCAACCAACAATGCAAGACGGCGGAGTTTTTTCTCTCCAACTTCTTGTACATGAAACAAGCATGAGAAGGATACAAAGTGAAAATTGTCAACAATGCATATCCGGCTAGTGATCAGCTTACTTGCTTGGTGCTTTGTGCACCGCTAGGCCACCATGTGATGAGATTCTTCAAGTGCCCACGATACTTGGACATGGCCTCTAGGATAGTCTAACATCGATGGTTGAGGGGCTTTGATTCACGGTTACGGATGACCGCTTCGGAGTAGGGGGCGAAATGCTTGTGTTCGTGGAACCAAATGTGAATTTTGTTCCAAAATGTTGTGCCTTTTTGCTCCACCCATGGATCAGACTGAGACTAGTGGCCAACCATGCATCGCACAATAGCTCGTCCTCCTGCATGCTGAAGCTTTCTCCACTACCCTTCTTCTTTGGATCGCCGGCTATATCATCCGGATCATCGTCCTCACTACCCCCCTCCTCGTCCTCCTCCTCCTGTTGCTACTGTCTGGTGGCCCAATGTTGTTCTTGCTGTGTGCCCACGTCAGTCTG